GGGAGCCCGATGTGGGACTCGATCCCAGGACCCTGGGATCATGACCTGAGCCGAAGGCAGTCGCTCAACCGACTGAGCCACCCAGGCGCCCTCTGAGGCTTCTTCTGTCTATAAAGCTCGTTTTGTTTCTCTACTCAGGTGTGGTCTGGAGCCTGGAGTGGAAGAGAATGGTAAAAACAAAATCCCAGGGAATTATCCCATTCTTCCTCATCTGCAAGGGCTCTGTTTCTTGTTCCTTGGACTCAGTCTGCTGTCTAGGATGAAATCCATGCATCCACTGCTTGGGGGTGGTCCCAGGAGTTCATATACAGCTTAATGTGATCTTTCTCTTGAGATCTTTCCTTTTCATGGTCTCCTTGACACTTCCAAGTTCTGAGGGGTCTTCTGTCTATAAAGCTTGTTTCGTTTCTCTACTCAGTTTCATACTTCCCACCACTGCTTCTGATACAGAGAGAAGAAAACCAATTAACCTTATGACCTCATTTAACCTTAATTTAATTTAAAATTTCTAAAAGATTTTTAAAATTTTTATTCATTTGACAAAGATATATAGAGAGAGCACAAATAGGCAGAGTGGCAGGCAGAGGGAGAGGAGAAGCAGGCTCTCTGCTGAGCAGGGAGCCCGACTCAGGGCTAGATCCCAGGAGCCTGGGATCATGACCTGAGCCAAAGGCAGCCGTTTAACCAGATGAGCCACCCAGGCGCCCCCCCCTTAATTTTATTTTTATTTTTTATTTTTTTTAAGTAGGCTTCACGCTTGGCATGGAGCCCAGTGTAGGGCTCGATCTTATGACCCTGAGATCATGACCCGAGCCGAAACCAAGAGTTGATCATTCAACCAACTGCACCACCCAGGCGCTCCCCACCCTTTAAAAAAAAAGATGTTTTTGTTTTGGGGGGATACAGAGGGAGAGTCAGCGTGGAGCGCGATGTGGGGCTCAATCTCAGGATCCTGAGATCATGAGCTGAGCTGAAACCAAGAGTAGGATGCTCAACCACCTGTGTCATCCAGGTGCCCCTGCCTTGTTGTCTTCTAATATCCAGGTAGCCTTTGATGTTTGGTTTTGTTCTCATGTCAGTAATATCTTTGTGCTGTTTCTCTTGCTCTGAAAGCTTTGGGAATTTTCTCTTTATCTTTCAAGTTCCTGTATTTTACCAAGCAATGTGGACTTTATTTTCCATAACACTAACTGTCCATTCTATTAGTCAACCCTCCTGTTAAATTTTAAAATCTTTTTCATAATCCCACCAACCCCTCCCCACTAAGAACTGTTGTTAGCTTATTGTCTTCTTTACGATTTTTGTTTTAGGCACACAGTATCCATCTTTACTCTGAATGTACTAGTTAGGATTTCTCAGAATCTGCATTTTGACCAGATCCATAGGTGATACATTCCCTACTCCTAGCAGATACTCACCTGATGTAGTTTTGCTCCAAAGGGGCATCTTCCTGAAGTCTCTGATGACCACAGCCCTGTCCCAGGGTTCCTGGCTCAGCATGACAGGTGGCTGCATCGTTATGTTTCAGCCCCAGCCCAGGCCCACTGCATGCCTTCTCTGTCTGGATGTGGGGAACTGCCTACTCCGAGAGCCGCCTCCAGGGATTGAGAGGAATGGCCACACGGAGGAGTTCAGCAAGGTCTACCCTGTTCCATGAGATTCTGAACACAGTTCTGTTGTGCTTACATTTTTAGATCAAATTTACATATGATGAAATACACAGGTGTTGAGTATACAATTGAATGCTTGGACAGATGTATATACCTGTGACTACTTCCCCCAGTGAAAATAAAGAACTTTCTCATACCCTCACGCCCCTTTGTAGTCAGTCCTCAAACTCCTCTTGAAGCAAATAGTGTGTCCATTTCTTTCACTGTATTTTTCTCTGTTCTTGAACTTCTTAGAAATAGAATCATAGGGTATGTCCTTCTCTTGTGTGTGCCTTCTTTCACTCAATATGATGTGAGAGTCGTCGTTGTGAATCTTTTATTTTTATCATTATTCATCATCATGTTGTATCATTATTCTTTTTCATTGCTGAGTAGTATTCCATTTTGTGAACGTAGCACAGTTTAATTTATCTCCTTTTGAACATTTAGGCTCTTTTTTACCTTTTGGCTATTATGAACATTCTAATACACCATTCCTCTTGGCTCAATACCTAGGAGAGGAATTTCGGGTCACATGGCAGGATAGGCTGCACTTTTGAGTTCAAGGTACCTCCCCCTGGTTGCTCCCACTTTCGGTAGGGTTATGCGTCATCCTGCCCAGCCTGCATGGGCTCCCCGCCCGCCCAACCGCCGACCACCAGGCTGCAGCCTCTTGCCAGCCTCACTTGCTGCTCTGTAGCAGCCGAGTATGTGCTCTCCCGGCAGAGGTGGACCCTGCCACTTGGGCGGGAACCGTGGCTCCAGGGCCCAGCTGAGCCTGGCTCAGGGCTTATGCTCAGGTCCTCACTGAGGGAGACACTGCAGGTCCCAGAGGGCTGGCTGGAGTCCCCTCGGTTCTTCCTGTGCCCATCCTGCCTGGCCCATGCGCCAGCCTGACTGGCTCTTGGAGGCCCTGAACCCTGAGGGGATGACACCACCTCTTTGCCCTCCTCCTCAGTGCACCTCACACGAGGACCAAGGCTAAACTGCAAAGTAAGAGTAAGGAAGGCCAACAACCGATTTTTCTCATAGGGACTACCTGGATGCTTAAAAAAAAAAAAAAAAAGAAAAGACAAATATCAATATGAACAAAATGTTCATTTTGTTTGGCAGTCTCTTGTTCTCCTCTGGCCCTTTTGGCTGATCACTGCTGACAGCCAGTGTCGCCCACGCTGCTGGTCCCCCAAACCTCGTGTGCCCTGTGGCAGGCAGGTGCCCCAAGAGGCCCAGCTCTGATCTTGCCCTCTGCACCAAAACACTCAGTACCTTTTGTTGAATGAACAAAATAATGTTTACGTCAACTTTAAGCTTTAAAATCCATTTAAAGAGGAATTTCTTTTCCAAGCAAAGGTGGTTATTGGGATGGAAAGGAAAAAACCATTCTAGAGAGAAGAAAAGACAGACAGTGGACATATGTTTTGTAGTAAAACATGCTGTCGCTCCTTCCTGTCATTTCTTGCCTCCCTTTCCTTTATCCTTGGGCTTTTCTCCTGCCTTTTCTGGTGCCTTTTCTGGTACATTTTCCGGTGGCTTTTCTCCTTCCTTTGGCTTGTCAAACTTTTGCTCCTTTCCTGCAGGGGGAATCAGCGCATTCCTTCTGACTCTCTTGCCTTTGAAATGTTTTCTTTGAAGACACATATCGATTAAGGCGAAAAGTCCAGCCACGCCAATAAGGATCTAGAAAACAGAAGAAGGAACTTTTGCTTTTCATTCCAAAGCAGGCATAGTCTCTCCTTGTTTCTAATTAGTCAGCAGGTGCTGGTTAACACATCCCTTGGTTCCCCCGGAGACGCTCCGATTTTGCCCCTCCCCCAACCTCAGCATCCCTCTCTTAAAACCCAGCCTGGGTGTGGCCCATTGCCTTGGGGATCAAGGCAGCTAGGAGGAGGAAGCCCTTAGCTCAGCTGGCTCCCTGGACAGCATCTTTATTTAAGTGGCTTCTTCTTTGGAAACATTGACCAGCTTTACTTTTAAACTTTGCACGGGTCCCAAGATTTTGTGAAAAGAAAAGAAGTCCTTTCCTTAAGTCAGGGGAAAACACCCATTCTCCAGAAGAGGTGATTTCTGGAGTTCCCAACACGAAAGACTCACCACAGCAATGAAGTAGTGCATGGGCATGGTCTGTCGGCTTCTCACAGCTATGACTACAGCCCCCACAAGGAAGATGAAGGCGAACAGGTCATTGAGAAGGTCCTGAAAGCGTGGGAGATGGGAGAGTCAGTCTCAACCAGAACCAAACCCCCATCAACACCCAGCCTGGCATCGCTTCCTCCAGAGGGGATGGTTTCCAAACTTCTGCCTAATTTTGTTTTGTTTTGTTTTTTAAGATTTTATTTATTTATTTGACAGAGAGAGACACAACGAGAGAGGGAACACAAGCAGGGGGAGTGGGAGAGGGAGAAGCAGGCT